TAATAGACTAATAAAAGTAAAATGGACTTCAATGAGTATAAAGTATTTATAAAACTTATGGTTGTACATGTACATGTGTGTATGAGATTTCAATTTAGGTCATTATAGTGAATCTGTTTCTGGAGATTATAAACCTCCTGCAAAAATTATACTAAGTACACATTTTCTAAAAGTCCTCTTTTAATATGTATTAATGCATTGAAAATATATTTTTCTATCTGAAATAATGCCTAAATCCTTACCATTCACTCGCAGATCAATTGAGTAGGTGGAAATAACTTAATAAATGTATATAATTACACAATATCATCATTTTTAGAAAAACGGAGGAAATTCGGATTAAAAGTTGGCGATGTTTTTACAGTGTTTTTAAACATGTGTTATGACTGTAGCTTTAATAAATGAGTTAAATAGATGAAAAATACAGACAATCTGACAATTTTACTTTGTGTTTTTCCAAAATAATTAAAAATAAAAGCATTGTTCAGTGTTCACCAACTGGGAAAAATACTGCCAAATTGGGAAAAACTGAACTCATTTTCAATTGGGAATGGGGCCGAATTTCGGCCCCTGAGAAGGCACTGATAAATCCCTGTTATCTATAGGTGTATGTCTGTTAGGTCGATCAGGGTTGGGCATACACTCCTCAATATTACAGTATGAATTTAGCCAATTGAGACATTGCAATTGGGGAAAGGGATCATGCATCCAAGATTTTACTTTTCCATGCAGAAAAAGTTCTTTAAGTGTGTGTCATTGCTTTCAGTGAGGAATTACCTTGTTACATGACAGAACCGCCATTTTTGGTTTGCACATGTGTTTATTTACGGTCACCTAAATGTTTGTAAAGTTCTATATAATTTATAAACGCTTATTTAACTAAGATGCATTCTAAAATTTAAAACCCACCAGCTCAGCTGAGAAAAATCCGGAAAAATATGTCGGAAAAAGACATTATTTTTATTTTCATGATTGGTGAAAATTAGGGTCGGCGGAATCGTAAACCAAGTGAAAAAAAAAATTTGGTCTAAGTCATATTTTTGAATGTTTTAATCAATATTTTATAGTCTAATTAGGCCTAAAAAAAATTGTTTGCTTCCTTTAACATTCCCAAAAAATCAAGGGTCGGTAGGTCGGGATTTTTTTTTTTTTTTTTTTTTTTTTTTTTTTTTTTTTTGCTTATGGATAATAGGGTCAAACATCCCCAGACTGAATTAACCAGGTGTTATATTTAAAGTGGACACCCAAAATGGCTGCTTAGCGGCAGAGAACGAAATTCTAAAAGTTGTGGGTGGAAATTGTTGTTACAATAATGATTACTCTTTATATTCAAGGTAAATGTTGACTAGGATGACATATTTTATATCTCAAATAAAGCTACAATTAATATTTTTTGAATAAATGGAATCAGCTGATCGATCGAACCAAAGAGCAAATGCAGATTTGGCAGAAGAAAAAAAAATCCGCCGGGGGATAATTTGAATGGGTCGGTCGGGTTACAGGAAACAAACTTATTTTTTTTTTAGGCCTTAAATTGAAAATGTGTAGACCTCATATAAAGCCACAGTAAGGCACATTTATACATTAACAATCTAGAATAACAGGCACAGCCCCTCGAAAATCTCAAAAGTTCAACGATATCTGCTTCACTATAATTTATGAATTTTTATACGCCCGTCTTTAGACGGAACGTATTATGTTATGGCGTTCATGTCCGTCTGTCTGTCTGTCTGTTAGCTTTTCTTGTGTCCGGCTCATAACTTTAATACTATTAGGCCTAGGATTATCAAACCTTGTCAGCTGATACTTCTTTGGTAGAAAGTGTGTCATGCACTAAAAGTAGGTCGTTCTGACCTTTAATTAAGATCTATGCTATGGCCAAATATGGAAAAATCCTGTCCGGCTCATAACTAGAAAACTATTAGACTTATAATCATCAAACTTGGCCAGTTTATGCATCTTAGGTAGAAGGTGTGTCGCGACCTATTTCAAGGTCACTGTGACCTTTAATTTAAGTGAAATTTTTAAAAAAAAAAAACTTTCTTTTTACTATTAAATTACACAATTCCAAAAAATGTAGAAGTGTTGCAGTATCCTTATTAAAAAGATGTTAAAATCAAGAAATACTTATTTTTTTCATTATATACTTTACAGCAATCTATAACAAATACATGTATAATGTTACAAGAGAAATTCCACCTCTCCCATGGGTGTAATTATCAAGCACTGGTCAAGGAGAATTTTGATAACAGAAAATTGCATGTCAAATTAGCGAGAAATTAGTTTAGTGTGAGGAGCTAACTGGTAGAGCATCTCTGATCAAGCAGGTGTTATCTATATCTCTTGGGAATTGGGCAGAGGAATCAGCCATGTTGGATTAAATAGTTTTTTGTGGGCTAGCCTAACATTTAAAATGAATTTGGTGAAAAGTAATTAAAAATAATTTGATACAATAATTGTATAATAAACTAATTTAATATTGTATAATAAACTAATAGATAGTCCCTACAAATCTAAGAGTCAAGCAGAAACCTTATTAAAAATGTTGCATCAAGATTACAATTTTTTTTTCTTTTTATAAATCTTTGTAACAAATTGAAAAAAAAAAATCTTTGTTTTCAAATTTAATTTCAGAATGACATAAATATTCATTTTAATTGCACTACAAAGCAGATAGCACAGATCCATTCATCCCTTGGGAGTAATGAGTGGGCATGCATCCAGTTAAAGATTAATTAATGAGTTCAGTGTAGGAAGGCTAGCTGTCCTCAATCATTTCTGTTAGAGCATCTCTGATCAAGCAGTTCTTATCTGTATCCTTTGGGAATTAGACAGAAGAACTGCTGGTCAGTTTATAGCATATGTCATTTGATGGCCAGTCTTTTATTCTAAAATTAAATTGGTATAGATTAAGTTGTTAAGACTAAATTGATTTTGTTTAATATGATATTTTTATTTAATTTTTGGAAAATATCAACTAGTAAATTTCAGAGCATCATGTCTCACAAATATGAAAGATGTGTGTGTGTGTGTGGGGGGGGGGGGGGGGGGGTGCAGATGGGCATTTGTCAAGCTCTAACACTACCAGTTGAGGATCTATAATGTAATATTTGTTATAATGCCTACACCACAGGAAATGTATAAATGTATAAACAAAAATTGTAAGAAATGGAAAAATCTTGGAAATCCTTGTATCAAGGTTGACTTTATTTTCTTGCACTCTAAACTGTTCGTGATAATTGAACAATATTTGACGGGCGTATCATGCTGGGGCACTTTATTATACAAAGGTAGTAACATCCCTACTACTTTGAAAAGTGCCAGGAGCTGGTTGTGCGCTGTTGCTTTTTTCCGTATTTTACCATTATTTCAATGCATATTATGTCAATGTAGGAAGTTTATCAAAAATTTTACATAATTCTCAGGCATGGGGAAGTTGCTCCCAGCACTTTTCAGGTTAAGGAATTTGTCTTAAAGAAAACAAAATTAATTTCATAGTGAAAAGATATCCGTATATCGTTGTACTTTATGATCTTTGTAGCCATACATATTTTTTGTAATTTTAAACATGTCACTTGACAAACAGCTGATGTAAGTAAAGTTGCTTTGGCCGAACTCGGCAAAGACCTCATATATATGAGGGTTGTCCCAGAAAACACAAACTTTTTGTATATTTCAGAAACTATTTGACCAGAACTAATAATTTTTTGCAAGTTGTTGGAAAATGATATTTTCAGTATTATGACAAAATATTTTAGGCTTGTGATGTCATTAATATGTAAAAACGGCATTTAAAGGGTGTTAAATATCGGTGGTCTGCACACTGCAGTTTAATGACTTTTAAAAGTAGCATTGTCAATGAATTTTTCTTTATTACCAGGCTATACGGAAATATAATGTCACAAACTTTACCTCCATAAATACTCTTTGATCTAGCTGATATACTTGTGTATGAAAATTCATTAATTTGATATCATTAATGACAAATATATGACGTTATATGCCAGAACACTTTTAATTAGATATTGTTAAAAATGGTGACGTTTAGTGATAATTTGGAGCACAAATTATTAAGCAGCACTGTCTTTAAAACGGGATAGGACTCTTGCCCATACGATGAAAGAGATATTAGTGCTGGAAGAGACATTTTGTAGACCAAAAGAAATGAAGACAAATTGAAAGTCCTGAGCTTTACGTCATAAGCCTAAGCCAAGGCCATCGTTAAACAATGTGAACTGTTAGGTTTATTATCGGAATTGAGAAATTGTCTATTGAAAGAATTAATTCCACAATCTTTTAGCAACACACGCCGTATTTGAGATGCATTACTTGGTAAATAAAATAAAATTAAATACTGTGCCGAATTTATGCTTAAATAAACTAATTTTATCAGAAGCACATTTCCAGAAAAAATTCACAAAAATGTTGATCATGATCTATGCCTATTTTTAACTTTACAGTATTAGTGAAACAAAAGATATTGAAAATGTTCACGTATTTCTGGGACAACCCTCCTACATATGCAAATAGTAGAATTCCCATTAATCAAAACTCATGCTGTAAAAAAAAAATCAACACTATATTTATTTTCTCAGAATATTTTTAGGCGTATTATTTCCTGTGGGCATCCTTAACCTTGCTGCATTATATTTTTTATTTGGATTTTTATATCTTTACAACAAATTGCAGAGTGTCATGTCTCACTAGGATGACAATTTTTTAGAGTAAAGAATAACATAATTTTCTTGCACTCTAAAATGTGTACGATAATTGAACAATATCATACAGTGGCAGGGATTTTTATTACTCTTGCAAATTGTATGAAACAAAAATTATTTTTTGGAAAAATACATTGTGATTCATATATTGTGACTACTATATTGTGATTGTTGCATAAAACCTGTATTGTTCCTGCAGTCCTAATATTTCATCATATATGTTATTATGTTTATATGTAACTTTAAACTTTTTATTTATGGTTTTCATTATCATTTTACAAGCATTGATGCATCTGACAGCTTCCAAAGGCTTGGAAAGTAGGTTAATGATGCAGCTATAGACAACCCCATCTTATGCATGTTATGAGAAGTTAAAAGTGTTTAACAACTACTCAAGGCTTTTTCTTTGCAAGAAGGGATATTGATAGAGGGAAGGAGATCAGATATGACTATGGTGATCCCATGCCCAATGGACAATCTTCCTTGGAGTTTATCACTCATCAGGTAAATATTTAGAATAATGGATTTTCAAATTTGATACGCTGCATCCTCTTTGTAGTGCTTTTTTTTTCAATGTCCTTGAGAGGTCAAGAGATGAAAAATGTTTTACCCAACAGTGTTCCAAGTCACACTTACTTTCAGGTCACTAAATGAGGACCTTAAAAAAAATTTTGGCCACCATTTCAGAATATTTCACTTGCCATAATGAAAATATTTTGTGAATAACACTAGTAAAACAAGGAACTAACACCCTGTATGTTTTATGTCTTTACTAAATCAAAGATGTAAGGTATTACTGTGACTATAAACAATTTGCTAGGTTTAAGGAAATATTTTTATTAATACAACCACCCTTATGGTTGTACAGTACACAGAGGAACACAAGAAGACTGATCCTAGAATTAAAATTTATTCAAAAGAAAATACCAAGTTTGACACTTATTGAGACAGGACTTTGCCAGCTGTTTGTCATGTTTACTTATTATTACATAGTACGTACCTAACCCATTAAACAGTCATTATTAATGCTGCCAAAACACTTAATAGTTGTAATATGCAAGCAATTGACCAAATGTTTCAATAACAAGGTCAGGTTCTAAAAAGTTTATGACGTTTGGATGCCATTCTGTCAGGGACGTATAGTATAGGTCCGTGGTTCCATCAAACTGTATAAGTAGTCACTATTAAAGCATGCTGTCATAACATTACAACTTGATGATTAATGATTTTTTTGGCGGACAAACAGACAGATGGATGCACAGGGCAAAAACTATATACCCCCGAATCTACGATTACAAGGGCACTAAAATTGGTGTTCAGCAGATGCAAGTTTCTGAAGTTTACATCACGTACATTGAAATATATTAATTTGTGAACTTTTTTTCCAAGAATAGGAAAAAAGCAATTGGTGAAAAAGATGAATTAATTAAATTGATGGGGAAAAAACAACATCTTTTTGTGATCCATATTTTAGATAAGACCAAAAAAATAGTCTTGTTTCCTGCTACCAGCCTGAAAAAAAAAAATAGGGTAGGTAGGTAGGAAAATTATTTTATTGTATATTTTCATTTTATTTTTTTTTTCGACAACATTTTTTGGATATGAACTAATAAAAGATAAAATTAAACATGTCACAGGTCAATATTGTCTTTTAAAATCAAATTTCATGTCTTTTGACTAAACTCAAGTGGTATTCTATGAAAGTCCACATTTAAAACAAGAATTTCTTGAAATGCTTGTTTTGTGTTAACACAGAAAACGATTATGGTGACAGAACGATGAAATTCCGGAAATTCGAGATTTTTTTCTTCCAAAATTTAAAAAAAAACAAGACTATTATTTTTTTTTGGCCTAAATAAAGTAAATTATTGAAAATAATACCTCTAAGACAAGGTTAGAGTGATTGTTATTATTGGATTACAAGATCACCTTGATATGAAATATATGGAGATAACGAACAGTATTCAAGCTCAAAAGTCCATTATACAATACAAAATAGGAGCAGAGCAAACACGGACCTCCAAACATCAGAGGTGGGATCAGGTGCCATGGAGGAGTGAGCATCCCCTGCCGACCGGTCACACCCGCCGTGTGCTCCTTGTCATGATTGGGAAATAACGGAAAAATCCGTTGACAATTCAGTGTGTAAATAATGGTCTAACAATTAGTATGAAAAACGTCAGTCAGCATTTGACTCAATGATAAATTGTATTTGCTGACAAGGTCATTGTATCGACCATACATACATGTGATAAGTCAAAGACCACAAAACTGTACAGGAGCCATAAAAAAACTGGAATTTGGGTGAAAAAACTGTACACTGCCTATCAAAAAACAGTACAAAAATGGTATAAAATATCGCTTAAATTCTTCTGAAATTCCATCGTAATCATTTTAATAAACATTGTATATTTTATACCTACGAAGATCTGGGTCAGATTCACGTATATTGAGACTAAAGTCATGTATATCAACTTTAGAAGTTGGCTTAATTTTTTTCAATCAAGTTACGTATACGAAACATTAACAGTAATTAAGTACCCCTTAAAAAATAAAGCTACCTAAAGGGGTATTTGATACGGATTTATAGCAAGATAATTATCCCAATTGGCAGTTCACACCTTCGCACGCGATGGTTTGTGTACACTACACAATTATCAGAAGGTCAAGTGTCAAACACAGGTGACGTTTTCCAGTGTCTCGCAAGAATGAGAGGAAAATGGAGGCATTTAGTGAGAAATTCAAAATACTGTACAAATTTTCATATTCCGTGAATTTTGGTGTCCCGCCAGTACACGATGAATGGGCTCAAAAAACTGTACATTTTGCGTACAGCCTGTACATATCACATGCATGACCATAGAACTTACGAAATGATGACTTTAAATGAGACAGCTGATATTTGATTATATGTACAGGATCACCTCTTTGCCTCATGCTATAATAAATATATTTACCTAGGTTACACATATCCTTAAATTTCTTAGTATTGAACAATTGCAGTAATTTATACGTATGGATGTTTTTTTTAAAAAGAAATAATTTGCATTGATAATCTCGATAAACAGGACATACTAGTAGAAAGTGATATTCATCCTCGACACAAGTATGACACAAAAAAACATTTCCAGTGGGATCTGTTTGCTTTATTATATCCAGTTTCAATAGTTAAAAGGTGTGAAGATAATCTTAACTTTGATATACATTTTTGAAACTTAGTCAGAATTGAATTTCTTAAATAATACGGTAGGTAAAACCCATCAAGTAGATATTTATAGAAAGAACATTTCTGCGAACTTTGAAGTTTAGTATATTTCTTGTTTAGCCTGATCCAAGATCCTTTGATAAATTGTCATAATGGTCCTTTCAATTAGGGTCTACCTAATAGGACTTCTCAGTTGATTGTACAATTTACACCTGGGTGACCATTGCCCTTGCTGTTTAGTGTTATATAAAAAAAACAATTAGTTTATTTGATACTTTTTATTAATTTATTTTATGTTAAAAACATTTATTTAATAGCATGTTAAATTTCTATTCAAAATGCATCGAAATAGCTTACATTAAAGGTATCTGAATGTAGTTGCAGGCATAAATATAATCACAATTAATTTTGTTTTGCACATATATTATAGGAAGCATTTTGGAGGCAAACCCTGTTGCAGCATTTCTACATGTTCCACAGATTGTACAGACTAGTCAGGACCTTGTAAATTCGCATGTTCAACAGCTTAGGCATTTTAGTACAGGTATGTGTAACTCTTCTGAAATATAGGAGGAAATTTCAATACAAGACTTGTAGCATAACTTATATTACATTGTCAGTTCTTCTTTGCATGTTCCTTAGAGTGGATTATTGAGGCAGACCCTGATGGAAAACTTGCACATGTTCCACAAACCAGTGAAGACCATTTTGCAGAATATAAACTTTTTCCGCAGATAAGCCAAGACCCTAATGGTGTTCATGTGTGTGTGGTTAATTATTTGCTCTGAAGCTGATATGTGGACTGAATATAAAACTGTTTTTTTCTACAGTTAAGTCCATCTTAATCTGAAAATACTACCGGTACATTTTGAATTATGCTTTATTATGCAGAAAAAAAAATAATTAGTTTCAAATATGAAAAGTCTGTTGATACACTGCTTTGCAATTCAAAAAGTGATAATGTGATAAGTTTTGATGTGAATATGTGACATGTGCCATTATCAATTTTCATAAATAAAATCAAATACAAAGGCCATTCCAATTTAATGTTTTGCTTGTCGGACCCGCATGCTCTTATTTGAACAAAGCTATACGAATAATATTAATTTAAATCTCCTGCACCTGTGAAATTCTGTGCCAGTTTCTGTTTTATTTCCGCTCTATTTTTGATAATTTAAATCTGTTTACTCTACAAATCAGAAAAAAGTAGAAAAAATATAATTGTCACTCAATTTTTTTCATGTTATGCCTAAAAATTTTGCGTACAAAAAAGTAATAATATTATTATTTAATCTCTTGCCCGCTCTTACTTTTTTCACCAGATGTGCGACAAACAAGAAATTAAATTCGCGTGGTGAAATAATGTTTTATTAAAACTCATTTAAGGAATAATAAGTGGCTTGCGTGATAATTTGCATAAATGCCGAAGGCGTTTATGCATAAAATTATCACGCAAGCCAATCGATTGATCATCGTCATGAATCCAAAAAATCTGATAGTTATTCCTTATATTTACATGCTCCTGATTCTGCAAATTTCCATGCTAATAGCCCCGTTTCTGTCTCTATTTGTCCCGCCCCGCAAGTGATTTTTTTTTAACCGCGCCTATAGATGAACTAGTAGATTTATGTAGAAATAAAGTATTTTTACAATTTGTAATTTTATCTCGGACAAAGACATTGGAAATGTAAATATTTATGCAATAAATGATAAATAAAGACTAAACAGTCATGTTCACAAGCCAGAGGTGATAAAATATACATCTATTCTACATGTTCTATAGGAAAAAAAGAATTATAAAGTGACATCAATTTTTCAAGTAATGTCTGTCTAGAACCTGTACATCAGATTTCGTATTTTGTGTGATTTTTTGAAGGATTTTTACACTAACAAAGTTAATAAAATCAAATCTTAGTTCTAAAATTTAATAATTTATTTTTAGATTGTCAAAATGCTTGTTAATTATAGTATCAAAGCTTGAATTGTATATCAATATTCTCCAGGAGATAAATATATCTATATATTGGTATATTGGTTGTCCCATAGTTTGTGTATAGTTTGTGGGTCATTGTCATATCGGTTCAACTTCTTGGATTGTGGGTCACGGTTATTTATTGTTCTAACATTTTACAATTTTTTTTCTGTAGTTTGTTTATGTATTTTTGTATCATTTGTGTATATGCATACATGTATATGTGGTTTGTGGATTACTGTCATATTTACATGCATGTGTCTGTTCATGGTGGATTGTGGGTCACTGTCATATATTGTTTGTTCTTACATTTTTCCTGTAGTTTGTTCATGACTTTTTGTGTCTTTGAGTTAAGACATTTGTGTATAGGCATACATATATATATAAAAATGTTCAGTTTGTGGATCACTGTCATATATATACATGTATGAGTCTGTTCATGGATTGTGGGTCACTGTCATAGATTGTTTGTTCTATCATGGATTGTAGGTCATTGTCATAGGTTGTTTGTTCTAATACTTTGCCTGTAGTTTGTTCATGACCTTTTTGTGTCTTTGGGTTAAGACAGTTGTGTACATGAATACATATATATGAAAATGTTCATGGTTTGTTGATCACTGTCATATATAAGTGTTTGTGTCTGTTCATGGGTTGTGGGTCACTGTCCTAGATTGTTTGTTCTAACATTTTTCCTGTAGTTTGTTCATGTCTTTTTGTGTCCTTGAGTTAAGACATTTGTGTATATGCATACATATATATAAAAATGTTCATGGTTTGTTGATCACTGTCATATATACGTGTATGTGTCTGTTCATGGGTTATGGGTCACTGTCATAGATTGTTTGTTGTAATATTTTACCTGTAGTTTGTTCATGACTTTTTGTGTCATTGAGTTAAGACAGTTGTGTACATGCATACATATATATGAAAATGTTCATGGTTAGTGAATCACTGTCATATATATATAAGTGTTTGCGTCTGTTCATGGATTGTGGGTCACTGTCATATATTGTTTGTTCTATCATTTTTCCTGTAGTTTGTTCATGACTTTTTGTGTCCCTGAGTAAAGACATTTGTGTATATGCATACATATATGAAAATGTTCATAGTTTGTGGATCACTGTTATATATATACATGTATGTGTCTGTTCATGGATTGTGGGTCACTGTCATATATTGTTTGTTCTATCATTTTTCCTGTAGTTTGTTCATGACTTTTTGTGTCCTCGAGTAAAGACATTTGTGTATATGCATACATATATGAAAAGTTCATAGTTTGTGGATTCACTGTCATATATATACATGTATGAGTCTGTTCATGGATTGTGGGTCACTGACATAGATTGTTTGTTCTATCATGGATTGTAGGTCATTGTCGTAGGTTGTTTGTTCTCATATTTTGCCTGTAGTTGTTTCATGACTTTTTTTGTGTCTTTGAGTTAAGACAGTTGTGTACATGAATACATATATATGAAAATGTTCATGGTTTGTTGATCACTGTCATATATAAGTGTTTGTGTCTGTTCATGGGTTGTGGGTCACTGTCATATATTGTTTGTTCTATCATTTTTCCTGTAGTTTGTTCATGACTTTTTGTGCCTTTGAGTAAAGACATTTGTGTATATGTATACATATATATGAAAATGTTCATGCTTTGTTGAACACTGTCATATATACATGTATGTGTCTGTTCATGTATTGTGGGTCACTGTCATAGAATGTTTGTTCAAAACATTGTAGAAGTTTGGTTATGGCAGTTCAATTATGCATGTGTTTATGGTTTCTTGATCACTGAGTAATCATTACTTTCATGTATTAGAATGTGTCTGATTATGGTTTTTGGATCAGTATCAGTGTAAATATATGATATAGATATTTGTCTGTTCGTGTTTGTGGGTCACTGTTGTAAAGTACTTGATTGTGAATACTATTATGTGTGTTTTCCTCACTTTGAGAAATAAATACATAATCTTTAACTGATAAAAGTGTTACCTTATCAGTGTTATCTTACCCCTGCAAATGAAGAGCCTGGGCCTAAAATAATTTTTTTCAGCTGCCTAGTGACCCACTGAAAATGCACCTGACCCGAACTTTTTCCAACTATTTTGTATTATTTTTTTTAAGCTTCAAACTTTCAGGATAGTGAAACTGCATGTTTCATTTTCGATTTTTGGTATTATCAATCAGCGACTTATAACAAGAGGAGCTTATGTTAAGTAAGCCTATTTTTGTTAGTTAAAACATATTTGAAAACTACATTTTTTTAGAAAAAATAAAAAAAATACCGCCCATTCTAAAAATTTAGGTTGACAACTGCAAACCAAGAATTTTTTAAGATTTGGCCCTGGTATATAGGAATTGCCTTGTCTGTCTGTTTATGTTATGAGGAGGGATTGCCATGTCATGGCCATAACTTTGAAAAAAGCATTTATATGGCTTCTGCTTATATCTTACACAGAGATGGACATGACCGTGGGTTTGTCATGACCTTGACCTGGTATTACTTGAACACAGTCTCCAGAGAAAATATTTTGTATTATGACTTTTATCAGGTATTATTTAGACAAGGTCACAAGGAGAAAAATGTTGGAATTCTGGTGTGAGCCATAGCTGTATCAGAGAGAAGAATCTAACTAGACACAGAGTTTACTTAAAACCTAATGCTGTGTCAATCAGATCATTTTCATTTGATAAGGGTCGGGGTGGGATGTGATAAACTGTGTGTGGGCCATTTTTGTGTTACAGAAATTTAAGAATCTTATGGACACCATAGTTGCTTGTGATTTGAGGATTAGTCCTGCACCTGACACGAGTCAACTAGACGTGCAGAACGTCAGTTTGGGGAATTGTATGGGGGTCATCAATTTTTTTCAAATTGTATTTTTTTTACCATAATATTCTGAATTCTATTGTCTCTATATTTCTTTAGAGATTTTTTTTGAAAGGAGAAAAATCATGAAATTCAATTGATTTCTTTGACTACTTTAGTTAATTTTCTACTTAGTTAATTAAAGTAGTCAAAGAAATCAATTGAATTTCATGATTTTTTCCCCTTTCAAAAGAAAAAATCTTCAAAAAAATATAGAGACAATAGAATTCAGAATACGGTAGATGTAGGGGTCGAAATGTGACAGAGTATCGCATTTGTCTTAAGGAAAAGGGAGCAATTATGATTTTTCCATACCGTGAAAATTTCTCTCTCTCTCTCGTATTCATCTATCTAACTATTGAGAACATGTACGAAACAATGGTTGACTCATTCATTTAATAGCAAGAAAAACAAACCTTAGTCCTCAGGGCTCTAATTGGCGACTAATTTAGTCGCCGTGGGGCTTAAAATATTTGATTGACGCCTAAAATTTTCTACAAGTCGCGAAATTGGCGACCATTATAAACTGACTTGGCGATTCTCAAATTTCGGAACTATCAACATTTTCAACCTTTCTTTCTGAAGAGGAGAAAAGATAATTCAAATTTAGCAATGGGCATGCCTTGCGTTTTCTTTGTCAACTTGTTTGTTGTTCTTTTAGTCACGCACTTGTGAACGAAATTTCGCATCGCATCAGTGCACATACTGCTCATGTCATGAAAAAAAATAATCCTTAGATTTGTCTTAAGACGTGTCTAAGGATATTTTTTAGGACATACATGTATCTTAGGAATATCTTAAGATACGTCTTAGTGTGTAAACCAAAAACGTCATAGGAATATCTTATGGTCAGACGACGCGTTTCTCAAAAATATATAATTTTTCCCAAGAATTTGCCATTGAAGTATTGCTACTTAAACAAGTTTCCTCACCAAAAATTGAGGTACCCTATCAGGCATTTGGGCAAGATACCAGAGGGTGATATTTCCTATATAATCCATATAGGTAATCTTTTGAATTGCCAATGTTACAATTACTGGTGTACTTATTTTTAAACATATTGAAAACAATTAAGAAATCACAAGACAATGACAATTATGAATAATTTTTGATATAATACCAAGGTATACAATACAAAACATATAATTGAGTAACGTGTCGTCTGGCCTTAAGTAAAGATGTCTGTAGTTCAATT